GGTTTCTCGGGTCCATACTTCATTACCAAGTCTTTAATAACGATCTCTCCCTTGGTGGGCCATTCGGGTGGCGGGCGATGTCCTAGAATTATCGGATCTGGTTCACTTTCAACATTCTCTATGTAGTACAATAAGCGTTCCACTGAATTCGTCGCTGTTTCCTGCGCATATAATAGAGTTAAAAGTTAAGTTGTAGAACTCTTAATAAACTCAATATTTTGTATACAACTACATACCACATCAGAGAATTGTCTAATACACCAACTAAAATCTCCCGTGACGACCATGCTATAACTTAAAATTACCCCCACTATGGATGGATCCACATCAAACCTTTCGTAGACGCATAATAGACTTGCAACATAGATAAGCATGTTTGCTATAGATTCCACCCTTATAAATAGCCACTTGCTGACAGCGTTGTATAGAATGTAAGCACGATTTTCGTTATCAAGGTATTTTTCGTTTGTGCTGATTAAGGTCGGTTAAGGTCGGTTAAAGTTGTCCAGATGTCAGATTACTTGCAAAATTTAAAAAAAAATAGACGTGTACCGCAGAAAAGTTTCTTGCAAACGGTATGCGCGTATTATCGGTAAGCCTGTCAGCGTTTCGGTGAACTGAGCATATAATGAAGCCCTCAATATTGAAACCAGACCTTTATATTTTAAGCAGAAATTTAACTAATCAAGTCATTTTTTTTCAATCATAAATCCAAAATAGAAAATGCTCGACTTACGTATTAACTCTCGATTTGATTCCCGAAAATAGTTCGAATAATAATAATACAGAAAAAAGAGTGGCGCCGCCGGAATCAAGAAATACACAAATATGACAGTTACTAAGATAAATATTCCACATATGTCTGCTATCGTGTATAAGAATAATTGCAAAGGTTGGGTAATTATGTTATCGCACGTGTCGATATCTTTGCTGAATCTTTATCGGAAATCATAAATCCTTGTTATTGTTCTATCAATTAATATTTGAAAATCTAACCACAAATTACGTAACGCATATACTGACCGATTTAAAATTCGTCCAATGGGTGTTGTATCAAAGAAACTGATGGGTGCGCTCAATACTCGTTTTAACACCTTTCGATGAAGATTTCGAGCCGCTGAAAGTGTAGCCAAAGAAAGCGAAAGACCCACGAGAATACTAAATATTCCCTCGGAGACACCCCAAGCAGCATAAATCTCCATCTATACAAACAAATGCGGGTATTCCAGGTATCAGCAATATAATGAAAATCAATGTGTGCATTGTCTGAATGAGACTTACATAGATTTCCGCGGAAAGTTGAAACTTATCGCTTGTCCAATAGGAAAGCCATAAATTGCCTCTTGATTGTGAGATGTAATTATAATTAGCTGAGATCATTGATTTCAGGAATTCCAACATGAAGCGGAAAATTTGAAGATGCAAACCCAATGTTACTCCCCTGCATCATTATCAGTAAAAAAAGTACTAACGGAACCAAAAACAATCCACCAGCTGCTTTGACGTATGAATAGTAAATTTCCATTTTCACTGCGCCAATCAATCGTTCCTCTTGAGTCATCGATTCATTTTCATGTACAAGTAATGAATTTCTTATATTCGCATTACTTGTTAAATCTTCATAATTCACAACTCTTTTTTCTACATCTTCAGATTGTCCATATCCTTCTATCAACTTTGAAAAATTTTTTCCGTTGCGAATTAATTCTTCGTAAGTTCCTTGCTCTACGATCTTACCATTTTCCATGTACAGTATGTAGAATTTGAGTCTCCGCATTTATTATTACAAAATCAAAAGTCGACATTTAGAAAAATGTGCGAATTCAGCGGAGAATTTGAGGAATTGATAAAAATTGCAAAACATAATTATGAAAAAAATGCAAGTCTCAATGGCGAAAATAAACAAGAGGTTTGATGAATTTTAAATGCAAATTCAAGTTCAAATGTGTAATACCCAAAGATTCATGATTACAAAATATATTGACTGATTGGGAGTTCCGGGCACGATGAAATTAAAAATTAATTTTGATCACCTAAACTTAGGCATATTTAGAACAATAATTAGCATTAATAACATCACATATTACAATATTATTTAAAGAGAATAAGGTCATCATTAACGAACATTATATCAGATATGGTTTTATAATTTTTATAAAAAAAAAATCATACTTAGTCGTTAGATTTATTAACTTATGTCCCTTATTACTGTACGTTGTGCATATATATTGTATATAATTTATCAATACCCGAAAATTTATTTGATGAATTTTTAATAAAGTATCATCATTTTAAAATAAATCAAAAACGAAAATTACTTTAAGTCGATGGAATAACGTACCGTATATAGTATACAATGCACGAAAAAATGACTCGCGGATGCAGTGGCGCCACGTTTAAGAATAGCCACCGGTGGCTTTAGGTAGTAAAAATAATTATGATTACGCCACCATTATTACGTGAAGAAAACAAATGTACAGCAATATAAGCCTATATAAAGAAACGTGAAATTAGCAAAGTTTAGCCGCAAATTTAGTAGTGAGAAATGATTAGACTCGTATATACAGTCAATTTTTTTTGAGTCTATAGAATACAAATTAGATACTTAAACAAATGTGGTTTGTGAATTATTATGTTCTAGCATATTTTTATTTGATTGAAATGGAATATAAATGATATCTATTATACATATTTGAGATTTTTAAAATTATTCATTAAAAAATAAAGTGACAAAGATGGTTTTGAATGTTTCATAAAGAATCAATAGGTTCTCATTTTCTCATTGATTTTTATTTTATTGATCATGATTGATTCCACAAATTTCTATTATTTCTGTTTGTTATTTTTAAATAATTTTAGAATATAGTAAGATTGGTTTATATAAACTAAGAAACTTTTTGAATAATTTTTGAAATATGTGTTTTTATCTAAAAACATTGTTGTTTATACATAGTTAAATAATAGTATTTTTAAGTATTAGTACTATTGAATCTAATATATTATTAAAAGAATAACAAATAAAACTGCAACTAATGGTTTTTAAAAAGTTTTATATAAAATTAAATGTTTTGCTTTGCTTTGATTTGATTAAGAAATTGAAAATGCATAATATTACAAAGAAATTCTATTTATTGGAATTTTATTTATTGGAATTGTATTTAAATTAGTTTTATAATAATGTTTATACATTTTAAAATTTTGAATAAATTAAATTAGTTGTAGTAAAAATAAATACCAAAAAGATTTTAATCTAAAAGATTTTAAAAGATTAAAAATTTATTTAAATAAAATTTACTTAAAAATAATATTATCAAAAATTTAATAATTAAGAAAAAACTTTTTTTATTTAAAGTGTAAATTAGAATGATTAGAAAATAACAATAAAAATATTTTAGGTAAGATAATTTTAGATACTTTAAATCTTTTGTAAGTAATGATATACAATTAATAAATCGCAATTATCAAATAATATAAATCAAGGAATAAGAAATATATTTAATATTTGAAAAAGAGCAAATTTAAATTGATATCAAAAAATCTAAATTTTTGTTTCATTTAAGTAAATTATATATATATACAGTATTTATCATTATACAAGAAAAGCAAAAATGAAAATTTGAAAACATGTATAAATTATTATAATCAATTAACAGAAAAATTTAATAAAAATTAGTTATTATAAATAAAGCAAAAATTCAAATTTGTAAAATATATATTATATGATATGATTTTTTTAAACTCCAAAATTCAAAAAAACTTATAATTAGTGTAGCATAAAAATGATTTATTTATTTTTATGAAAAACAACTTTTAATAAAATATAGAAATATTTTTAATTAACTAGTAAAATTATAAAATAAGTTTTGATATAACTGAAAAATAATTATAATAAAAGATATAATTAACTTAGCTTAACAATATATCAATAAATTGACTCAACTATCCCTACTACTTTTTCTATTAAGTGTCATATGCTTGCAAACCTTGATTCAATACCAACTTCATAAATTTAATGAAAAGATATTTTCAAAAAATTCTATTATTTGTAGTTTCACTGTATCTAATATGCTTTTACTTTCTATTAATTGAAAAAATAAATATATGAATACTCATGAATGCTAATGTAGACTATAGATTCTAATTATTTCAATATTCAAAAGTTATAATTATTTTAAATTATAAAAAATAAATTAAAATTTGTTCAATTTACTCGTGATTACTGTATCTAGTGTTAATACAGTATTGGTTAAATTTTCAATGTTTTCCAATATTAAATACTACATATTTTCCATGTTCGTCACAGAGTTCTAACTTTAATACAGTATAATCTTATTTTCAGATGGTTGCTATTCAAGCGGTTGCATTTTTTAAATCTTTTCATCTGAGATATAAGGGAGGAGGAGAAAAAATATTATTACAGTATAATAATATTATATGCAGCATATAACTTTATGGTAACGTAATTTAGATATGGTTTTAAGAAAAAAATTTCCATATAATATATTAATGTCGTTACGATCAATTCGTAAAATTAATACATAGAATTCGTACTCAGAATACTGTATTTTTTTTTTTTTTTGGATTATTGAGAATAAGATCGCATCTTTAAAAAATGATTACTTTGTTATTTAAAAAATTATCAGTTCAAATTTTAAACACACACCATTCAAATTAATGATCCAACAGAAAGCTCTTTTAACAACAAGTAACACTTTCAACTATTAAAGAAAGGCTTAAAAAACTATTAGCTGTCATCCTCGAACACCGAAGAGCTTTTTAGCGAGCCAAAGAATTGTCAACCGTATGTAATGACTGGCTACTCAAAAAAATTCTCACGTCCCTTACAATTCAGTTTGTTACTAAAAGTTAACTTATGAGGCATATTTGCCGAGCACTATAACACTTGTGAACTCCTGCTTTATTCTATCCTTGAACCTTTCCTATCCCAATGATCAATACAAATTTTGATTCTTTATTAATGCGCACCCAAGATTAAAAAACAAGCCAAGGTAAGCGATAGGTTCATATTTTTCCCAAGATCCTACCATCCATTTCTAACTATTCAAATTCTATTTACCTTACCCAACGCATTATAAGCATTAGTCACAATACGTCATGCTTCCGAATTTCCCACCATGTTTTCATTGAGGAGCACAATAATCATGTAACGAGATATCGCATCATATTTACGCACTTCTTTGTCTAACTTTAACCTTCATTTCATCACACTGTCGTACAAATGCATAGTGGTACTTGATGGATTCGTGATTGACTAAAACAATATCATATTTTCTGTAAATTAAAGCCATCATAGTTTTCATTTCAACCATTGCTAAATTTCTTCCGGGGCCTATCTTGTGAAAAGTTGAATGATTATATATCCAAAAAAAAAAAGTTCTATAAACCATTTATGACATAATAAAAAAAAAAACTTACACTTTTTAACACCACCACCAAACATCAAGAATGCATTTTTATGTACTTTAGACTCTCCGTCGGTCAAGAACCTTGATGGATTAAATTCCAATGGATTGTTCCAGTTTTGATGGTGTAAATGAATCCCTCGTTGATTAATAACAAATTGCGTGTTTGCTGGAAATTTATGATTTCCAATAACATCAGGTTTTGTAGATGCCCGAAGATTAATGGGAACAGTAGGCCATATGCGAGAAACTATAAGAGAGATATGGGAGTCAGAGATAATGAAAAAGAGAATATTAGGCAAATAAAGTTGTGGTAACAAACGCACCTTCGTTTATGACGGCTTCGCAATATTTGAGTTTGTTCAAATCTTCAAAAGTGATTTTTGAGTCCCGATCGGTGCCCAATACATCATCCAATTCTTGACGAATCCTTTGTTGTACCTCCGGATAATGGGCTACGTGGTGAATAATGTAGCATATGGTGTTTGAAGTCTTTGTTGGAGAGTGAAAATGAAAATGAAATAAATAAGCAATAAATAATTGATACTACACGTTGCTAATAACAACATACCGTAACGGTACCACCACCCAATATTTCAATCATGTTTCCTGCGATAGCCTCATCAGACATCGATTCCCTATAATGTTCATCCGAAATTCCTTTTGTAACATCCTTTGTCGTATTGACGGTCAAAAACTGTGTTAACATATCCTTTGACAATGAATCGCGATCGCTCTGTTCAATTTGCCCTCGCCGCATCTTTACAATCTCCAACACACTCTTATAATACCAATTTTTCTCTTCCAATAATTTTTTACGAGTCCTGCGTATTCCCGGAATACCTCTCATAATTTTTATCGTAAATAAAAAGAAGACCCAACTATCAAAAAACTTTTTTATACTGTTCACGAATTTTTCGGTGTTCAGAAATTCGTTCTCAGGTACCAAAGTTTTCTTGCTTGGATTTAACGAGTTGTAATAATTGGTAAGTGCGTATACACGTGAAGTGGTAGTTAATTTGATGATAATCTCAAACATAAGTCGGTGCATCCATCCAGCAAAGTCGATTTCAGTGCTTTCGTCGAAACAACCATAATCTTTCAAAAAAAACTCCATCTCGTTGAATGCAACTTGCATGAAATCAACAGCATCTTTTCCCATTTGAGGCGTCATGATGGTTTTCGCGAAGAATTTTCGATGGTATAATGCATCTTCTTCGATTCTATTAAAAAACAATCCTTTGGTGGTCATACCTAAATCGTTCATTCCATCATGTTCAATAGTACGAAAACGAAAGTGGTTTTCTGAAGACGTGGACATAATCTTTTGCACAAGGTCAGAACGGTTTAGCCAAACAGTGCGGGCAGAACCAAGGTAAATTTCATATATATCGCCGTATTTCTTTTGTAACTGTTGGGCCCATTTATCAGCGTCTCCCGGATACGAAAACACGTTGCCGATAATTGGGAGTGGAATGGGACCTGGAAGTGGGCTAGAACGAGTAAAGTAGCAAATATAGAAGTACAAGATGTAAGTTAGAAGGGAGAAAATAAGAAGGACCAGGATATCGTAAAAGTTGGCTGCTAAAGCGGAAGTTTGTAACATGCTTATGTAGATATTCAAATTATGTTCAACCGAATTAGAATTGTTCGTAAAAGAAAGGCGAACAGTACACGGGATATATCAATAACATAGATTAGTAATAATTTCGTCATGGGAATAATACAGTAGTCGATAGCCTGATATTACATAATTATTTAAGCTTCTGGATTATCTTTTATTTTAATTGTTTACGATATTTTAATAATCAAAATTCTTTCATTCATGAAGCATGTTTGAAATAATATTAAAGTACAGTACATCGCATCACCGGATCAAAAAATTCAATCAATAAGACAAAGCATCGAATTTTGAAAAAAAAATAAATCAAACTAAAATTTCATAATATTATATATATGTTTTTTTTTTAAAAAAAAATAACAATTGTTAAAATTTAGTTATTTATGAAATTATTATAAAATTTTGTCTATTTTAAAAAAAAATAAAATCTAAATGATATACTGTATATTTTATATAATTAACCATATATTTACAAATATATTATATATTTATAAATAACAATTAATAAATATAAATTACTATATTTTAAGATTAAACAAATGACAAATAAATTAAGTTATAATATACAGTATAAACAAACCAATTTTTTAAAAAAATTTTTATAAAAAAAAACAATTAAAGATTTTGAAAAATCTAAATTATTTATAAAAATCCTATCAATATTGTTTCAAGCAATCAATAATCTTTAAAAAATTTTAATAAATGGGTAATTATTTTCGAAGGTGAACTGGAAATTTCTGTGATCCTAAAATTTATATTGTATATGTATTGTTTAAAAGCTGGGTCCGAAAAAATCATATCTAGCATTTTTGTCACCTTCAAAAATAATTATCCAAATATTTTACAATTGCAATTCAATAATAAATAGAAAGTTATAAAGAATTATATAATATTTATATTTGCAAAAAAATTTTAATTTGTAATTATTATTTTTAATTATTATTTGATATTATTAAAATCTATTTGCCTTTATATTTAAAATTTGCTGTATATAATAAGTTACTAAAAACTTCTTTTCAATTTTTCAATTTTTTTAAAAAATATTTTTTGATACAACAAAATTAAAATTTTATCAAATTAATTTTTTACAAAAAATCTTATTATTATTTAATAAAAAATTTTTCTAAATTAAATTCAATCAATTTTTTTAATAACTTGATTTTTAATAATATAAATATAAATTACTATTTTTATTAAAACAATTTAATGTTTTTATATTTATTTTAAATTTTGTTATATATAAAAATTAAAAACTATTAAAATTCAAAATATTATTTAAATTAAAATTTAATTTTTTAATATATTTATTATTTTTTTAAAAATATTATTTTGATTAAAATTTTTATAAAGATTATTTTTATACAATATTTTTATTAATATATATAATTAATGTATATGCAATAATTCAAATTAGCTATATACTATAATAAAAATATTATAATTTAAATCAAATATTATTTATTTATTGTTATTATAAATTGATTTAAAAAAATTTTTTTTTAATTTTTATACGTATATAAATTATTAGATATTAAAAATTTTAAAAACAATTATTTTTTAATTACATATCAAGTTAGTCAAATATGAAAAGAAACTGTAGATAAAGATAGATCTCTAAACTATATTGCATATAAAATTTTGCAGATCAATTATGTCTCTTTTGAAGGGGATACAACTATTTACTTATTATTTTAATAGAAACAAAACTTAAAAAATACTTGAATTAATGGCCTAAATTATAAAAAACTTTTGTAAGTAGTTTTTTTTTTATTATATTTAAAAAAAAAACTTTTTTAATAATAAAGAATATTTGAGTTATGTCTTTGCTTTTAATTTAAAAACTCATCTTTAACTATGGAAGAAAAAAATTTGACTGGCAGTATCAATTATATAAAGTCTTGCTTTGCTAAGAATCTAGATTATCAACCAGTATATTAAAAGCATATAGTTATAAGTAAATCTATCTTGAATACCTGAAAATACTATTATTCCATATACTATTCAAGAAGAATAACTACAGGACTGTCTTTTTGTCTTATTCAACTTTCAAATTTTATATAATAAAAAACTGTGAGCAGCTTATTTCATCAAAAGATCAATATAAGTTAATTATGTTATTTTAATATCTGGGTCACTAATATAAACAAGACTATTAACTCTTAATTATATTCTCTTTAGTCACATAGTTACATGGATTCAGATTATAATTCAAAATTCAAACAATGTACTATTTCTTACTA